CACCCCAACTGGATATATCCAACAGAGTGGTCCTTAGATCCCCCTTGTTTTCAGAGCTTTTCAGTTGGTAGGGCTCTACCTACGTGGATGCCTTTGCTACGAGCCTGAATCACAAGCTACCCCTCTTTTGGTTGCCAGTCCCTCATCCTCAGACTCAGTCAATGCCTTCAGCCAAGATTGGTCCCACAAATATCTTTATGTTTATCCTCCTATCAGATTACTTCATCAGGTGATCTCTCTCATTCATACCACTCCTTGTCGAGTCATTCTGAATGCTCCTTATTAGCCAGTTCAGCCATGGTTTCCCTGGTTATAGCACCTAATACTCTCTCGTCCTGTACCTCTTCTGTCATCTCCTTACCTTCTTTGTCAATCCTGGTCACGGTCCTACATCCCACCCTTCACATCCTGCATTTTCCCACCTGGCTTTTATCCAGTTCTTTTATCCGCAGTTGGTCAACAACTTGTGGATTTCCCACTTACCAGCTTACTGTGGCTCAGGTGTCAGAATTTTCGGGGGTTCTCAATTTCTCGTGCTATAGAGTGGCTTTATCCCATACCTTTACTTTTTCCTGATACCATAGTTTTTACTTCACATGTCCTTACCATGCTACTGCATTCCTTCTGGTTGCATTGCCCTCTCATGGGACCTACCCTTCCAGATTGGGATGTTAATGTGGTAAACCATTCCCTCACTTTACCTCCATTTGAACCACTTTCCTCATGTCCCATCTTCCCCTCAAAACATATTTCCTTCTCCTCTTAGCCTGTGGATGTCGACGATTGGACTTGTTTGCCATTGACGTTTCATGCACACTTTATCACCCTATCTATCTTCTCCTTTATCCGGATCACTCCTTCCCCCCAAAGACCTCGGCGGCTCGGGAGGGTATCTCCTCCTTTTCGCCTATTTTCCTTCCTTCTGTTCCTCATCTTTACCCTTGACTGGATCCAGATTAGCTTCTGTGTCTGGTCAGGGCTCTTTGTTGTTATATTGCCCATATGGCTTCCTTCTGTGGTACCCATTCCAGACTCTTTATCCCTTGGCAGTCTTCCTCTCTTCGTGATCTTTCACCTTCAACACTTACCAATTTGGTTCAACATTTGATCCGATTGGCTTATTCCTCATTACCTTCTTTCTCCCGGAATTTGTTCCGGGTGTCTTCTCATCAGATTAAACACCTCACCTTGTCCCTTGCTTCTCGTCTTCGTCGTCCATAGGAAGAGATTCAACAATCAGGCATGTGACCACGCCCAATACGTTCGTCTTCCATTATATACATCATATTGCGGTTTCTTCTCCATTGTATTTTCGTCTTCCACCTGTGGCCATTCTTCAGTCTTCGGCGCGACTCTGACTGATAAGTTTCTATTCATACTTTCTTTCTTTTCAGAGCCCTTTACCTTGTTTCTCATTATATGGATCCCGCTCTGTGGTGAGTGGTGCCTGATCAGGTATTCTTTAACTTGAAATATGCACTGTACAGCCATGTTGATTCGCACTTTATACTACATGGTTTCGCAATGCTCACCATTGAGATGGGGTGTTCCACAAGATCGCTTGTAGGTGAATAACCTCGCGATATTTTGCTTTATAAACATGCACGTCCTGGACTGTACCACCCATGGACTGTATGGGTAAAGCAGAAAGGGATAGCTGCTCATCCCTGTCATGCCTGTAGTGAATAGCTCGGTATGGTCTGCTTTTCAAAATAGGGTTTCATGGTCATCCATTGCACTCTCTCAGATGATGGCATTCCTCCAGACTCTCCACCGCCTTTTCACCCTCCTTTATTCTAGTGGAGTATAGGAGTCCTTATCACTTTCCAGTTCCAAGTCGCTGGGGTGGTTGAATATGGAGGCACCCTCCTGAATGGGTTCCACACAAAGATGTCTGTAATCATTCAGTGCAGAGTACGGTGATAGTGTTCTGCAGGTGAAGATGAAGTACTGTCCTCCTCTTTGAGATATGATTGCAGAAGAGAAATCTGTCCAAATGTAGTTCACATCTTCAAAATGCCGTTTAAAATAAAATAAAACATTTTTTGTTATTGTACTTTGATAGATTGTTTAGGCAGAGTATTTATGATGAAATTTACTTGAATCTACGGCAACTACTGCCTTTTACAGAAACACAAGTGTCATACACGACCTTTCGAACGTTATTGTTGTTTAGTGTTATTTTTCCAAATTCTTCCTCTAATGTAGTTGTACCACAATGGTTTTAGTGAATTTTCTAAATATTATGTGAGAGCTATTATTTTCCTTTAATCAGTAGATAGAGTTCGTTGTCATTGTTCTTGTTTTAGCACAAAGCTACGCAATGGACTATCTGATCTTTGTGTACCTCGTTGAATTGAAATACGGGTTTTAGCGTTGTACATACGTAAACTTACTGCTGATCTAGTGGGCGCTGTCTTGATCTCTCTAATGATTTTAATGATTAGCTTTGATTCAAATGATAATTTTGGTAACGATCGAAACATAGAGGGCAGACACAAAACGATAAAATGATATTTCATACATAGACCACGATACTTCTATCTTATTATGACTCCATCAATCTTGACACGTAGTCCATCAATGTCTGCAACCATGCAAAAACATAAACCTTAATTTTCCAACGTAATTTTGTTTGCAGTTTTTTGGTAAATATGCTACGTCGTACATGGACATAATTAAACTCCACTCGATTTTGTATAACTGGTTTTTTAATACGTCTCTCATGAGCCAAAGAATGTCTTTGCACTACAATTATTAAAAGTAAGTTCAATCCGGAAACTCTCAAAGAGGGTGGTTTTGGACGTATCTTTTCAAGACAAGTTTTCGTTTGTTAATTGATAAGTTTTTAAGTGAAATACAGCACCCTCAAGTCTCCATACTAACTGGTACTAAGATCTACCTGCTGGAAGTAAATTCAGTATATATATCAATAAAGCCACATTCTCGGCATCATAAATTAAGCAATTGTCAACATTTTATGCTTCTGCTATCACCTTTTTATGCTTAGCTTTCAATTGAGATATGAAAGATTTCACCTACAATTCGGTAGGGAATGCCGAAGCATCACAATAGTCAGCAGTAGGATGAGCAGACAGGAACACTTTCAAAGCAGCTACAGGCATAATACTGTATTCGGCTTGCTTTACAATATCTACCAAGGTAGGTCTAAACGGTTCCTGAATACCTCTGTGTGTCATTTGGAGACTTCCATGCTTCTTGTGCTTGGCCGTTAAGCTCGTGATGTGCTGACGGATTTTAGTCACCTTATCAGTTCAAATCACTTTTCGCAGCCCCCAACGCTAAAAGAGTGCGGGAAATGCCTTTCTTTTAACCAATAAAAATGTCCAAAAAATTTCAGTTCAAATTAAGAAAAACCGGATTGGTTAGTCGTTTCAACAAAAATGTCCCCCACTGGGTCGTGAGAGTCCTGTTAAAAATCATGAATAAATAAACCTTTACAATGGTGCATGGCCTTTATCTTTTCATTTCATTTCAATTTCATTACTGCGATTGTGCAGACAATCTCAGTACCTTATTAAGCGCATTTCATAAACACTGTCTTGGAATTTTCAATATTTTACACGTTCTATTACGTAAGTCATGATAAAAAAAATATACCTCTTTCGTGTGCTCTCTTCTTATTATTGCATATAATTGGGTCTGGTACTAACTTCGCTTTTATTATTTGTAAAATAATTCTTACATCTCATATACAATTATTTTATTAAACTGCTTATCTTTTTCTTCTATACATCTGTTTTAAAGCACTAAAATCGTTTGAAATACGTTTATTTTTTCTTTTCTTTTGGCTTTCTATCAAACACTTGTTTGTTGCGTGGCGCACCCTAACAGAATCTATGGTGAACAAATAGAAGTTCGGTTAATATGTATATTCAAAGTTTCCCATCGGTCATGGACAATATTTTCAAACAAAATTCTGGGAAATGTCATGTGTAAACAACCTAGCATTTAAAATAAAAATTAATGACTGTTTGCTTGAGATAATAAAGCAAGTTAATGGAACAATGAAAGTAAATAGATGTTTACGTGTTTTTTATCACAAATTTTAGGCCTATTGGTTTTAATGCTTCTCAACTTTAGTTTTTTGAACTGGAACTTTTGATGTATTATACTTCATATATAAGTAGTGTTTCAGATAATCTTTCATCTTTTATGGTCTGGACAGGTGGTTAGGGCACTCGACTCGCAATCTGAGGGTCGCGGGTTCGAATCCCCGTCACACCAAACATGCTCGCCCTTTCAGCCGTGGGGGAGTCATAATGTGACGGTCAATCCCACTATTTGTTGGTAAAAAGTAGCCCAAGAGTTGGCGGTGGGTGGTGATGACTAGCTGCCTTCTCTGTAGTCTCACACTTAGGGACGGCTAGAGCAGATAGCCCTCGTGCAGCTCTGCGCGAAATTCAAAAAACACAACAAACTAAAAGCTTTCCATGTATTATTTTTACAAACATTCATGCCTTATACTTTATAAAACATCATAGCAAAAAAAAACTAAAAACAAAAAAAAACTTTTATGGTCCACCCAACTGACGAGTTCTGGTATTAAACGAAACGCCTCTCTGGAAGTGATTTATGGGAGAAAGATACACCTAAAATGATATTTTTACACAACTCTGATTCAGAACATGAAGTAGAGAAATTAAAAATAACGTACAGAAACAAAGACACATCGGCAGTTTACGTGAATTTTATCACAAATTTTAGGCCTACTGGAGGCTAATGTTTCGGCATTTAAACCGTAACTTTTAAGACACACGTGAATGTCAAGTTGTCGTTTTCATGTGTACTAGATTTTTCCTGCATAATATTAAACTTTAAATACTTATTTTTAGTTATATGTAACAAATATTCAATTATAAAAACCTTGGAGCAAAGTCTATTAACTGTTTCATTTGTACACATAATATTTTAAAACCATCGTTCGTAGTTATAATTACGTCAATAAATAGGTATTATTCACATTCGTGCATACTTACATCATGTTGTCCATTAGTTGTTTACACAAACTTTTGCTGAACGACGAACTATCAGACTATTCTAAAACAATATCCGTTGACCAGCAAAACTATCATTCACACGTAACAAGGTCCATTCAATGCACGAGGTCAGAGTTAATGCATATAATAAACTGTATCAACCAAAATGTAACAGAAAAACACGCCAAATTACATTTAAAGAGCGTAACTCCAGAATTCCAAACTCAGCGGAGGTAAAAATTCACGATGGATGCGGAGAGTCATACAGCTATTTTTAGTTCATTACGTAGAGCTGCGAAGAGGACATCTGGAGGAAGAGTTTGAACTTTGGAAAAATATGTAATGAAGAAAATATACGAGTTGGGGCATTTATGGTTTTTGTTATAATAAAATATTATCAAAAGACCCAACAGCTACCAAAATCACAAAGCAAACAAACTATGTATAAAATAACTTTAGATTATAAACATCACATTCTAAAAACTGATAGATTTGCAATCGTTTAAGTCTCACTCCCAGAAAAAGATTTTCTGAAATACGAAAACGTTTATTTTATATGCCATAATAAAGTTCAATAAAAACTTTAAAATAATTAAATCTATGATTACTTCATAACATGTACATTTATTATAGGTATCTTTTTTGGATGTTTTTTTTTCCCTAAATTTATTCGAGGAATAAAACTGTACATCAGATAGTTACCTACTTTTCCATTTTAACATACTAAACACATAAAATCAAGTTTTTCGACGGATATATAAGGGCAATTTTAATTACTAATCACGCTAGACTAATGATATTAAATACTTTGCCCTCTATTGGTCCTGCGGTATTTTTACGGACTTATAACGCTAGAGTCAAGGTTAGATTCCATGCAGTGGACAGAGCGAGCGCAGATAGCCACTTGTGTTGCTTTGCGTTAAAACAAACACAAGCTAAATACTTAACTAGATCATTACTTGTGAATGTCTGTTTAGTTGTTCCAGAATTTCTGTGCAAAGCTACACAAGGACTATCTGAGTATAGCCATCCCTAATTTTTAAGTGATAGACTACGAGGAAGACATCTAGTTAACAGAACTATGCCAACTGTTTGAGCTGATCTTGTCTGACCGAATATTGGTACTTGATCTTGACGGCCCCAAAGTGCGGAGCGCGTTCTTGCGGTTAAGAGACGCTAGCCACGAACCCTAGGTTTCATAGTCCGAGCACGGTAACCAGTAAGTTACGCCTGGCCCATTTGTGTTTGTTTTAGTTTGTGTACTGTTGGCAAGAATATATCCGAATATAAACGGATCATCTTACTGGTACCAAATAGTTGTTCCACTGTTGCTTTTCTTTTCAACCTCCTACGGTGCATATAAAGAAGTATAAGAAGTAAAGCAACAAACACGAAAGAAAACGTTTGTGGATAGAGATATGTGCAAATACAATACGAATACATATTGTAAAGTAAACGTTTTCAATTAAACTATTGTATGTTACGCAACAATAGGTTTTACTCTCTTACAAGTATCCATACTATTAGCTATACAAGTTCACGGAAACCTAGTAAAAATATATTAGGGTGAAGTGACGTTAGAAAATAACAGAATTAATAATAATAAATGATATCCACTTAAAGTAGAAATAAAGAGAAGATAAATACTACAGAATAAAAACACTCTTTCTTTCTACGTTATTGTAACTGTTTTCATTCTGTATATTTATCTTCTCTTTCTTTCTACGTTATTGTAACTGTTTTTCTTCTGTAGTATTTCTACATTATTATAACTGTTTTTATTCTGTAGTATTTATCTTCTCTTTCTTTCTACGTTATTATAATTGTTTTTATTCTGTAGTATTTATCTTCTCTTTTTTTCTACGTTATTATAACTGTTTTAATTCTGTAGTATTTATCTTCTCTTTCTTTCTACGTTATTATAACTGTTTTCATTCTGTAGTATTTATCTTCTCTTTCTTTCAACGTTATTGTAACTGTTTTCATTCTGTAGTATTTATCTTCTCTTTCTTTCTACGTTATTGTAACTGTTTTTATTCTGTAGTATTTATCTTCTCTTTCTTTCTACGTTATTGCAACTGTTTTTATTATGTAGTATTTATCTTCTCTTTCTTTCTACGTTATTGTAACTGTTTTCATTCTGTAGTATTTATCTTCTCTTTCTTTCTACGTTATTATGACTGTTTTTATTCTGTAATATTTATCTTCTATTTCTTTCTACGTTATTATAACAAGATAAATACTACAGAATGAAAACAGTTATAATAACGTAGAAAGAAAGAGAAGATAAATACTACGGAAAATTGTTTGTTCATTTGAAGTTAAGCACAAAGCTACACAATGGGCTATCTGTTGTCTGCTCACCACGGGTATCGAAACCCGGTTTCTAGAGTTGTAGGTCCACAGACATACCGCTGTGCCACTGGGGGCGGAAAAAAGTTGAAACTTCTAAGGAAAGAAGATCATATTTTATTTTATATGATGTTTTACAAAGTGTAAGGCATGAATGTTTGTAAAAATAATACATGGAAAGCTTTTAGTTTGTTTTGTTTTTGAATTTCGCGCAAAGGGAAGGCAGCTAGTCATCACCTCTCACCGCCAACTCTTGGACTACTCTTTTACCAATGAGTAGTGGGATTGATCGGCACATTATAACGCCCCACAACTGAAACGGCGAGCATGTTCGTTGTGACGGGGATTCGAACCCGCGACCCTCAGATTGCGAGTCGAGCGCCTTAACTACCTGGCTATGCCGGCCCAAAGCGTAAACCATAAAAAATTATGAAATAAAAACTATGAGCTATCTGTGCTCTGCCCACCACGGGTATCGAAACCCGGATTCTAGCGTTGTAAGTCCGCTGACATACCGCCATAAATGAAGAAAACTAAATTAATGGCAGAAAATAACACCATAAAACAAAAGTAGAAAAAGTGAGTATACTAATGACAGAGAATAGCAGCGGATTCTTAAAATGTAAGTTATAAATAAATTATACTATAAAATAAAACAACGCAATATAAAAATTTACAATAGGGCAATAATCTTGGAAATGCACCGGTGATACACATAGAACTGTGAGTAATTGCAAATACATGGTTAATTTATCATTAAGACAATATATTCTTACAGACCATATAAAAGAAAAGCGAATAAGTTGTACAATGAACAATATTTTGCATGTGCTTTAAACAAAGCCATGTTCCTTGTTTTTGTGCTGCAAGTTTATTAATACATGATTACAAGATATTGTTCCAAATGTCCTTTATTCAGCCAAGTTGTGTTGTTAAAGTTTGCCCTTTTCAGCTTTCATATAAGTTCATATAGAATTAATGATAATATCCGGAAACTGTACAGGCTAAACCTTAGTTTCGAGTGCTCCATCGGATCATTCCCCATATGTTTAGTACCATAGTCTTACCGAAAAGAAAAATGATGTATCTCTTCCCTACAGGCTTTGGTCCTGAAGGAATGACATAATGTATTATAATCTGATGGTGCCTATCAGCATTCAGGGTGCCATCACGTTGGCGGTGATATCGTTCTCCTCTCTACCATCGCACAAACTAATGTTGTTCCAAATAACTTCGATTCATCTCTTTAAAACACCCTTCTCTAGCTTAAATCACTGTTTGAATGTCAATTTTATTTTGTTTGAATATCTCTTACGTAGTGGCTTTTGAGCAGTTGCGCATCACCGAGGTCACTTCATGTTACTGTTCTGGAGGTAACCTACAGACCTGCACTTACGGCTACATCACTGGCAAGATCTCTACTGGATCATTCTGTATCGTGTAAACAACATACTTAACATTAACCTTAAAGATTTGGGACTTTCTAACTCAATCACTTTTACTATAACCAGTTCTATTTAGTTTCATGTGCCATCTTCAGAGTTTCTGTACATTTATTATCGAAGTATGAAATTTCACCTCAATCTGTTGCATGAAGTAGCTTTCACCAGTAGAAACTTTTATTTGTTGGCGTTTTTTTAAACTTCTGATTTTAATCAAATTGTTTTAACCATTTATGGTTTAAACTTAAATTTGTCTCATATGCCAGTCAAAAACAACAACAACAACAAAAATAACGTTGTTTGTATTATTATTATTCAGACTTTTTAACTCGCCCCCTATATTTAATACAGTATTTTAATAACAGTCAAAGATATAAGATGAGATAAGCAAACCTGGTAAATAAAATTCTACTAGATTTGATTAATTTTAGTGCCATCAATAAGTCACCTGCTCACATAAAAAGGTTTTGTTCCTCTGGCAAACACATTAAACACGCAACTTTTTCCGTGATCTGATAAATTAATCCCACCTGGAGACATGTCAAACCTCTTTGAGTTTTTGCACACACACCTGCAAGTATGAGGAAAACAAAAAGTATAGAGAGGTGAGACGATGTTACACGCAAGCACGCCTCGTCCAGGTACTCGTGTAAAAGCCTTTACTTCCCTGAGGCTGATTACCTCTGATTTCCGGGATAACGTCACGAGTATTTGTGAAGTTCATTTGGTTACTTAGGAATTATTTTACGTATCATACTTGAATACTTTTCTGTTATCAAAACGTATTAAACGTTTAATTTGGATTATGTATGAAAATAGGGATTTGTTTTGAATGAAGGATGCAATTTCTACGCCTTTCGAACGCACGTGAAAGAAGTAGAAAAAAAGTTCTTACCCAATAAAAACTGATATGAACTTAACATCCCCCAAAAAGTTTATTAATATCAAGATCTGTAAGCACTATTTTGATTGAGAAAAATGGCATAATTTATAATTTTTCTTTTAAAAGGTGATATAACTATATCTGAATAAAGAAAATATAATATTTTCTAATAAATTTATACGTCGTTTTAACGACAGGCGATTATACCCAAGGCGGCCTTTCTTTGATACTGTTACGTCTCCGTTTGTTAATTAACTTTCCGTAACTTCGTTCCGACGAAACTTTAGCGACACAAGTTCTTTACTTAATAAAACTGGTTTATTCTTTCCGAATACAACTTTACCGATACACTCAACTTCAACAATCGCGCTAAACAAACGCTGTAACGTATCTCGTGCTCTCTGACTGCAGTTCAATTACTCACTGTCTATACACACATTACATTATCTTGTCACGTTGTCACCCTCTCTTATGTACCCGACCACCCTATATCCAGTAAATACTAGAGCATTCGCCAAAGTACATGATAGTTCTAGAAACGTTGCGTCACAGTAGTCATGTGACTCGCTGACACAACAATACTTTTATGTACAGTCGTCACGAT